GCTCGAATGAGACACAGGGTACCAAAACAGAAACACCCTGAAATTGTACCTAAACTTGTTCCGATTTCGTTTAGATTTCACAAATACCATCAACATATGGCCCGCTAACGGTATGCCAAATTTCAGCGCTGCCCGGTAAACGCTTTTTGAAATACTCGCGACCCACTTTTTGCTGGGTCCTTGATTCGAGGATATGGGTCTCCTGTACGGTGCTGCCAAAGACCTGCTGAATCTGCGGCTCCACTGACCATCTTGCTCTCAAAAATGTAGTAGTAAGTTACTACTCCCTGCCCTCAACTGCCACACCAAGCGTAGACGATGGTAGACCCGTGTGCTTGAATCGGAGACGATCTGACGAGTTCGCTGTTTCTGATTCGAGCACCCAATTTTCAAATAAAAAATCCGAAGGAAATACGACAATTTTACTGCGTACTGTAGCTTGTGTTGTAGCGCACCCAGGTTCTGAATTCCTGCTGGGTGGGTCAAGCCAGACTCTCTTCCCTGTTCCATCGCCTCTCCAAAAGAAAATTCTGACATTATTGAGATTTACAGATGAGAAATTGCACACCTGTCAAATCGTTTCTGATTCGAGCACCCGGGTCTACGGTACAACTGGCATGTCGCACAGCGCGGCCGGATGAATGCATACATGTTACATAAAAGGATACAATGACAAACAGTGGGATGTGCATCCACTACATCTCCCCTCTGAGATTAAACAGGCTATAATAGAGAAGATGAGGAGTTCAAAGACTATTCGATAATGTAGGTATGGTTTGTAGAGCAAGTTGCAGTGAAAGAGTGATGTGCAGAGACGACGGCAGATACGTCTCGGCACGTTGCTGAATTAGCATGATTCAATGAGGCGGTTGACAGGCTGAGGAGCTCTAGCAGAGTGACGGACTGGATCAGCTGCTGTGCCACCGTACTCAACCTCGACTGTCGGCTTCTCTGCTTCTAGCAGTGGCAGTCGGATCAAGTGACGACGATTGCGGAGAACAGTAGAGTGACCAGACTCAACGAGGTAAGAACGATTGGACACTTGCTCTACTATCTTGCCCTCCCGTTCGAGATCGGTGATGAATACACGGTCATGAAGCTGTAGAGTCGCGAGAGGCTTAGCTGCATGCCGTTGGTCGTAGTGCAACTTCTGCTGTTCCTGGGACTGAGTTTCCGATTCCAGAATACTAGGGAGATCTGGCCATTTCGGTTCCAGCTGTTCAGTCGTTGCAGGTAGACCGGTACGGAGCTGGCGGCCATACAACAGCTGACATGGGGCATAGCCGTTGCTCAGCGGTGTCGTGCGGTAAGCCAAGGGTGCATCTTGCAGGCTTTCGGCCTTCCGCAGGAGATTCTTGGCGGTGCGAACTGCACGTTCCGCTTCGCCATTCGACTGAGGATACCGTGGACTGGAAGTGCGATGGGTGATGTCGTTTGCTGTGCAGAACTCAGTCAACGCTTCGCTGGCAAACTGAGGACCGTTGTCTGTAACCAAGGTGGACGGGAAACCATGCTCGGCACAGATGCGGTGCAGATGCTTGATGACAGCAATCGAGGTTGTGGCAGTCAGCGGTACGACATCGAGGTAACGCGAGAGATAGTCAACAATGACGAGGTAAGTCGTGCCGTTGAATTCCATCAGATCTGCACCAACCGTGTGCCACGGCAGTGTTGGGCGTTGGACGGGTTGCAGTGGTTCGGTCGACTGGACGCGGTGTTTGGTGCACACTTCACACGTAGCGACCATCGTGTCGATTTGCCTTGACAAGCCTGGCCACCAAATGGAATGGCGGGCGCGAGACTTGCACTTCGTTGCACCTTGATGTCCCTCGTGGAGCTTCTCGAGCATCTCAGGCTGCAGAGAGGGTGGCATGACAATGCGGAAGCCATGGCACAGCACACCTTGCTCACAGGACAGTAACTGGCGTTCATGGAAGTATGGGCGCACAGTGTCGTCGACATCACGTGGGTTGCACGGCCATCCGTGTTGGACGAAGTGGAGGACTTGCTTGAGCGTCTTATCTTGTGTGGTGGCGTCAGCAATGTCACGGGCTTTACCATCCGACACGATCTCGCCGATGTAAGATGCGAGGTTGATGCTGATCTCGTCTTGGAGACTAGGCGTGTCGTCACAGGCGAGCGGAGCGCGAGACAGAGCATCGGCAACAACTAGCTCTTTGCCAGGGACATACACGGCGGCTGGATTGTACGTGAGCAGGCGCATCAGGAGGCGTTGACATCGCATCGGGACACGGTTCAAATCACGCGTATTGATCAGCGGGATGAGTGGTTTGTGATCCGTCTGGACAGTGAGGGACGAGTTGCCGTAAATGTAGCCGTGGAATCGCTCACAAGCCCAGACAACAGCCAAGCACTCCTTCTCGATCTGCGCGTACTGTTGCTCAGTAGTGGTGAGGCTGCGTGAGGCAAATGCAATGGGGCGCATTCCGTCGTCATGCTCCTGCAATAGGACAGCTCCCAAGCCGTAACTGCTGGCATCAGCGCTGATGACCGTGGGCTTGGTTGAGTCGAAGAACGTGAGGCAGGGCGCATTGGTGGCAAGCTGTTTGAGCTTGTCCAGGGCCTGTTGTTGTGTAGCAGACCACTCCCATGCGGTGTCATGCCCCAGTAGAAGACGCAGTGGAGCGCTGACTTCCGAGAGATTGGGAATGAAGCGTGACATGAACGCGAACATGCCGAGAATGCGCTTCAGTTCCGTGACGTTCTTGGGCGGCTTCAGATTAGCGACGCTGGACACTCTCGCTGGGTCAGAGTGGAGACCTTTGGCGGAGAAGATGTGACCAAGGAACTTCACTTCGGCCTGACGCTTGTGACATTTCGTCATGTTCAGCGTGACGTTGGCTTTCTGCAGGATGTCTAGTACGGCAGCTAGGTTACGGTCGTGTTCTTCTCGCGTACGGCCAGAGACAATGATATCGTCCATGTAGACGAACACGCCGGGGAGCTGGTCCAGAAGGTTGGTGAGACGCTTCTGGAAAATCTCAGGTGCTGATGTGATGCCGAATGGCAGTCGCTTGAAGTAGAACCTGCCGAACGGCGTGATGAAGGTGGTCAAACGGGCAGAGTCGGGACTGAGTGGGACTTGCCAGAATCCGTTAGCAGTGTCCAATGTCGTGAACACAGTCGCTCCGGCCAGTGAAGACAGGGCATCTTCTAACGTTGGCAGCTGAAATGTCTCCCGCTTGACAGACGCATTAAGACGCTTCAGGTCGACACAGATGCGTACCTTGCCGTTAGGTTTGAGGACGGGCACCATAGGCGAACACCAGTCTGTGGGTTCGTCGACACGCGCAATGATGTCGCCATCTTCCATGCGGTGCAGTTCTTCACGTACTTTCGAATACAGGTGATGAGGAACTCTGCGAGCTGTCAGGCAGTGATACGGTGTGGCGTCGGAAGTTAAGTGAATCTGCGCAGCAGGACCAACCATACACTGTACGAGTGGGACTGGACCTTGCACTTCAGCTAGACGCTGGACTAGACCCAGTGCTGTGCACGCAGATCGGCTGAGCAGGCTAGTGCTGGCACCATCTAGAACAAAGATGGGTATGGTAGTGGACTGAGATTGAAAGGAGCAGTGAGCCTCAAATACACCCAGGACCTGCATAGTCTGGTCATTCGCTCCTCTCAGCTGGGCACTAGTAGCAGATAAGGACGGCTTGGGCTGCAGTGTATTGTATGATTGCACGGACATGGTAGAGACATCAGCTCCAGTATCTAGCTTGAACTGGACTACACTCTTTCCGATAGCTAGATCTGCCAACCAGGGTGAATCACTTACACTTTGTGCGCACGTCGTGTGGCCAACAAATAGAGAGTCCGGAGAGTCGTTCGTGACGGCAGAGGTGGACGGTTTCGATCGGCAAACTCGCGCGAAGTGGTTGCGCTTGCCACAGGCTTTGCAGCACTGGCCTCTGGCTGGGCACTGATCGCGTTGCGAGTGGTGGCTTCCACCACAGTTCGGGCACTTCGATTCGGTCGCAGGCGGCGTTGCTGCAGATTTGTAGCTACCATGCGGTCTGCTCTTCGGCATAGATCGACCACCACGGTGCGACTGGACAGCTGAGGCTGAGGCATCATCGTCTGAAATCGAGCTGGCGGCGGCCAAGCCACTGCGCGATTGGGCTGCAACCTGTTGCTGGACAGTTTCGGCGTGCCGTGCGAACGCAACAACTTTGGCGAGAGTTTGCTCGCTCTTGTCTTTCATCTGCAGCTCCCGACTCACCCGCTTGTCCAGCATGTGGGCGACGAAGCGGTCTCTGATACGCTCATCCTTCGTGCCAGCAAACTCACAATACTCTGCAGCTTTGTACAGAGCACGGACAAACTCCTCTACGGTCTGGCCGGGTTGTTGTACAAGCTGTTCAAATTTAGCCCGTTCATGAACAACATTGGTAGAGGGGCGGAAGTACGTGTCGAAAGCACTGACGACCTCGTCATATTTCTTCTTGTCGTCCTCGGATAGTCCGAGTTGGTACTCGAACAAGGAGTCGGCGTTGGGTCCGAGAGCATACAACAAAGTGGCCACCTGAGTTTCTCCCGGGTCGGAACTCAGTTTGGTGGCAGCACGAAAACGGGTGAAACGGAGTTTCCACGCGGGCCACTGGTCCGGTGAGCTGAAGTCGAAAGGCGCTGGAGGGTTGAAACGAGCCATCACCGCTCACGAGGCCAAAGACTACAGGAAAACCAATTCTGACACCATGTAGTGGTTCTACAAACGCACCAAAGACATCTTGTAACTAGCTTCGTTACTACAAATCACAAGTGTGTGGGAATACAGAGAACGACAGAGAGATCAAAGGAAAAGCCAGGCAGGCAAGTACAGCTAAAGTGTGTACGGTACAACTGGCATGTCGCACAGCGCGGCCGGATGAATGCATACATGTTACATAAAAGGATACAATGGATGACTATGCGGCGCCCATCGGCAGCACCCGTGCCTCCAATAAAGGTACCGAGTGGCTTGTGACACGCAGGCTCTAGTAGTGCTGTGGCATGCCTGCGGGCCTGCGAATGCATGCACGATATGCCCCGCTGGACCAGCGGCCTGCAGCCATCAGGGCATACTCTGGGGCGCCTCGATCCGCCGTGTGTGTGGCTCCCCCGGCGCGTAAGGAATGGCTGCTGATGCTTGGACCTAGCACTTTGTGTAGGACAGCATTGATGTCGTTCGGCGTGAGATGGCGACCATCCTGAAACTTGAAGAGGGGTTGCTTGTCATTGCTCCATTTGCTGGACCGAACGTAAGCCTGCAGGGCTCGGACGGAACATGGTGCGGGGTCAGTGTAGCGATGCAGCGCTACCTCCCCGCCTGTTGTTAATTGAGACGTCTTCGTCCTCTGGAGCTGCGGAGAGGCCTCCTGCTGGGCTAGTTGGAGGTGTTCGCACCTCAGCGTCTTGAAGCCGCCGAGGCCGTGTGGTGACAGCGACGTGTACTCACTCACACGCAGCAGGCCGTGGAAGGCTGTCGTCAGAGCAGCCCATAGCATTAGTCTGTCTGCCGGGGAGTACAAGGACAGATCCAAGAACTGGCGGAGAGCCTTCAGCTGGTGGACGGTGATCGCTTGGCGCTGAGGGCGTGCTGACGGATGCCTGGGAAGCGACGCTCTCTCTAAGCCCTTGAGCAGGGCTGTGATGCGGCTTGAGGATGTAACCCCGACTGGGCCTCCCATGCGGAGGAGGTGGTATTTGACCGCGGCCAGGTAGACTCTCAGAGTGCTGGCACTGACTGAGTGAGACATTGCGGCAGCGAACAGCATGACGTCGTTCTGATCTGGGTGATGTGCGTCGCGGCGCATGCGACCCATGAACTCCAGGAATGCACGCCAGCCTGGGGCGTACGTGCGCTGTGTACCAGTGGCTACCGAGTTTGCAATCAGGTGCTCTGCTCGAGCTGAGAGAGCGGTGGCTAGCGAGCTTAGGAGGACACAGGCACAAGCGCATGCAACACAAATGCACACATGCATACGCCTGCACACGTGCACATTCCCTAAACAGGCAGCATGGCACGGCGGCCAAGCTGCGGTGTATGCATGCTGCGCCGAGTCGCCGAACGGCGGCCCGCTTCCCGGAACACACTGGCCCGGCGGCGTGGCTGCGGATTGTAAGCAGGGGGCCCGTGGGTTATGCTAGTGGGAGATCTCCCCCCTGACCTCGGCGGGGCGTTCCTGTACTGGTTTGGTCGAGGTTCTCCCTCATCCCGTGGGGCTAATGCAAATACGACCCGAGAGCCCCCCTCCTCCCCAGCCCCGCGGACTGGGAGCCTATTTGCCTAATCCATAGATACTTAGCCTTGCGGGTGGACGCATGGAGTGGCACGTAAGCGTTGGCTTGCGTAGCCGTGGCTTGCGGCGGTAAGCGATTCTCCGGCGGGAGGTGGACATCCGGAGGGATGTTATGCAAGCGGGGCTGGCGACCCTGGACAGACACACAGAACAATAGACAGCGGGCGGCGAAGCCTTGGCTCGGCGGAGCCGTAGCTTGCAGCGGTAGTGTCTGTAAGCGATTCTCCAGCGGGAGGTGGACATCTGGCGGGATGTTATGCGAGCGGGGCTAGCGACCCTGGATAGACACACAGAACAATAGACAGCGGGCGGCGAAGCCTTGGCTCGGCGGAGCCGTAGCTTGCAGCGGTAGTGTCTGTAAGCGATCCTCCGGAAGGAGGTGGACATCCGGCGGGATGTTATGCGAGCGGGGCTGGCGACCCTGGACAGACACACAGAACAATAGACAGCGGGCGGCGAAGCATTGGCTCGGTGGAGCCGAAGCTTGCAGCGGTAGTGTCTGTAAGCGATTCTCCAGTGGGAGGTGGACATCCGGCGGGATGTTCTGCGAGCCGGGCTAGCGACCCTGGATAGACACACAGAACAACAGACAGCGGGCGGCAAAGCCTTGACTCGGCGGAGCCGTAGCTTGCAGCAGTAGTGTCTGTAAGCGATCCTCCGGCGGGAGGTGGACATCCGGCGGGATGTTATGCGAGTGGGGCTAGCGACTCTGGATAGACACACAGAACAATAGACAGCGGGCGGCGAAGCGTTGGCTCGCAGAACCGTTGCTTGCGGCGGTGGTGTCTGCAGCCGATCCTCCGGCGGGAGGTGGACATCCGGCGGGATGTTATGCGTGCGGCTTGTGAGCCTGGATATCCACGCAGAGCACAAGACAGCGAGCAGGTCAGGCTCGCAGAGCCGTGCCCCTAGTATACGGGCAAACATACAACCTGCTGGGTAGGCTTAACGCCCTCTACAATTTGCCTCGGTAGCACGGCAATGCGGTGCCTGGCCCTTATTTTGTTTGCGCCATACGGGGCACGCGTGTCGCGTACATATGGAGCGCCCCCGAGTACAGTGGTCGCCGGTTCGGGGCCTGCGGGGTGTCGGCCACCATTCCTCCCAAAAAAGAAAAAAAAAAGGTGTTCTAAGGGGCCGGATAAGCCCGGTAAGCCCACAGAGTGGTAAGATAGACCATGAAGGGTTCGCTCCGGCAGGGCATGGATAATCATTGACAGCGGAAACTGTAGGTGGGGGCTTTAATTGGCGGCTGGAGCGCTTGGCAAACTGCAGACGGATGCGACTATCCGTTGTCGGATTGGGCACTGGCGAGTGATGATGGGGCAGTCTCCGCGTCGGAACCAGACGGACATGACGGACGAGCAGGCAGAAGTTGTGGCGAGCGGGGAGTTGCATGGTGCTGCGTATCAGGGCCATGACCCCGGCGTGTCGGCATGTGCCGGACTCCCAGGCAGTGCACCCTACTGAATTATCGCAGTGCAAGAGGTCCAGTCCTGCGCACATGGTCTGCTATCGTGTCAATCGTAATTAGAGAGAAATGGTAGGCCTGCTTGTCCATGAACGACTTGACGCTGTTCCCCACGGGGGCGGACAGGCGCATGATGAGCCGGTAGGTGCCCGACTTCTCGGGGACCACACCTACGCCAGGGGTGCGCAGATGGACGAGTGGCGGCGCGTTGAACGGGCCAGTAGTGTGGCCGCGACTGTATTCCGTGGCTAGGTACTGGTCGACGACCTCAGGGTGTACTGCCACTGAAGACAAGTTCGGGCTGCGTACGGACACATCACGGGGTCCAGTGAACCCGATACGACAGCCGGCACGTAAATTGTTAATTAGAGAATGAACAAATGCAGGATTAGGGTGCGCCAGCAATTCAGTGTGCAATGCATCAATATTGATAGGGGTGTTAGTAGTATAGGGGGAGGGGGTTCTGGCTCACCTTCCAGGTGAGCCAAAATCGACTTTCTCGATCGGCCCTTCGGGCCTCCCTCCCAAGTCTCCCCCCCCCCCCCTCCCCCTATACTACTATACTAAAGGATAGACACCCAAGTACTAATATTACACCTCCAAGTACTAATTTTACACCTCCAAGTACTAATTTTACAACTCCAACCACTGATCCCATGTTGGCTCAACCTAGTTCCAGAAAAGTGAGTCAACTTGCTGTCTCCGGGAAAATCGGAAGTGAGCCAACTTCAGCTTTTTCACTTACCCCATTTTGGCTCACTTCGAGGACTGATGTGGGATCGGTTTCTGAGCCAACTTCAGCTTTTTCACTTACCCCATCTTGGCTCACTTCGAGGACTGATGTGGGGTCGGTTTCTGAGCCAACTTCGGGTGGTTCAGCTATGGATGAGGATCCTTCTTTCTATAATAATTTTTTTTATTTGTCTGTGAAATATACCAGCAGTAATGGGGCTGAGAAGAAGAAGAAGAAGAAGGAAAAGGAGGTAAATCAAGTTGTCTGATTTTCCCGATGTTCCCGATGTTATCAGTGTTGTTGGTGTAAATCTCGATGTAATTCCCGATGTTCCCGATGTAATTCCCGATGTTCCCGATGTAAATCTCGATGTAATTCCCGATGTTCCCGATGTAATTCCCGATGTTCCCGATGTAAATCTCGATGTAATTCCCGATGTTCCCGATGTAATTCCCGATGTAATTCCCGATGTTCCCGATGTAATTCCCGATGTTCCCGATGTAATTCCCGATGTTCCCGATGTAATTCCCGATGTAATTCCCGATGTTCCCGATGTAAATCTCGATGTAATTCCCGATGTTCCCGATGTAATTCCCGATGTAATTCCCGATGTTGTCGGTGTTGTCGGTGTAATTTCCGATGTTCCCGATGTTATCAGTGTTGTCGGTGTAAATCTCGATGTAATTCCCGATGTTCCCGATGTAATTCCCGATGTTCCCGATGTAATTCCCGATGTTCCCGATGTAAATCTCGATGTAATTCCCGATGTTCCCGATGTAATTCCCGATGTTCCCGATGTTATCGGTGTAATTCCCGATGCTGTCGGTGGTGTCGGTGGTGTCGGTGGTGTCGATGTTGTCGGTGGTGTCGGTGGTGTCGGTGGTGTCGGTGGTACAGATGCTGCTGGTACATTAATAGGTGGACTAAGATGTGTAAGCGGAACACAAATTGTTCATTTTTACTCTATCATAAACCGTTTTTCTTTTTCCCATCAGTCCATTCCAGTTACATCATAGGTTGAGAGTAATCTTGGTAGATTGTCCACACCAAGCACATCTGGTAATGACATCGGATCAAAATCTAACCTAGGCTGATGTTGTAAATTTCTTGGATCATTTTCAGGGTCAACACTCATCGAACAGCTGGAGCGTTTTATGACATATACAACAGCACCAACTATAGGAATAACAATCAGAGATAAAAGATAAAGATTGGGGTCTGTCAAATGAGGGTGATCCCCGTTTCCTGGTTTCGTCTGATCGTAAGGTGGTTGTGTAGTGATATGATCTGTTGGTGGTGATGTTTCACTAGGGATGTCAACCGGAGTTGGTCTTTCACTTTGGATGACAGTAGGAGGTTTCGTTGTCAAGCAGAGTCCATCCTTATCCAACGGATCAAGAATACAACCAAGAGTAAATGGTAGCATGGTCAACAGTATTAACAAATGTGGTATTTCCATTTTTATCTACATATAGTTAAGATTTTCAGTACTCATGATAAACCAGCTCCCATTCATCAATGAGATTGTATCCACTCACAGTTGGTAATGTCAATGTGTTGTTGATGAAGGTCAGATATGCCGTTGTTATATCATTTTCTGTGATGTATCGGATTACCGCTTTTTCTCCCAACACATCTCGATATGATACATGAAAACGTCTTCTGCTACCACTTGTTTCTTGACCGACTATGAAGAGATCCTCAATGACAATCAGTTTGTTGGTTGGACTTTTGTAAATAGGAAAAGCATGAAGTGTGGCTTCTGGTGGAGTGGTTGATGAGCTCGGGATGATATTCTTCATTTTTTTGACTTTCACCTTTCCATCCTTTCTGTCAACATACTCCTTTGTTGTTGCTGAGTCATCCTCTGTTGAGTCTCGGAGATTGATGATGTGTTTCAACCCTATGTTAAGATTTCCTTTCATCTGGGTGAGTCCACTCGTCCAGAGAGTCCGACTTAGTGCTGTGTTGAGATATTGTGATGTTACCACAGATGTACTTCTTGATGGTTGCTTCACATTCACAATTTCCATTCCACCCATGTCAAGATTTCCTTTCATCTGGTTGAGTCCACTTGTCCAGAGAGTCCGACTTAGTGCTGTGTTGAGATATTGTGATGTTACCACAGATGTACTTCTTGATGGTTGCTTCACATTTACAATTTCCATTCCACCCATGTCAAGATTTCCTTTCATTTTCAGTGTACCACTCACCATCAGTCGTGTTTCATCATCATCAACATGCTTCCTCAATGAAGTATCCACTTTTCCTATCTCACTTGTGACCCACCCAGTTGGTGCCACACAAGTGGAACTCACTCCATCATACCCAAGATGACAAATTCGATGATAGTTCATGTCAATATGTCCCTCCACATCTCCACCAGCTTTATCCAACTTTTCTTCACTGACGACAAATAACTCCCTCTTTTTGGCATAGGAATCAAGATTGATCGAATTAGCTTCCAAGGCTGTTCCAAATTTTGAACTCATCTTCCTCATCTACCTATATATTATTTTTCTTGAGAGTGTTGGAACAATAAAAAATGATCCTTTGTAGATACAAACCATGGAAATGATCAACTTTGATGAGCACAAGGAGAAACCAACAAAGCATCACTACTTGCTTCCTGATTGTCACTACATGATGATTGGACAAACGGGATGTGGGAAGACAAACACCCTGTGTAATATGCTTCTACAAACATGGCTGAAGTGTGATAAGGTCATCCTTTACACAATAAATCCTCAACAACCAAAATATCAACTTCTTGATAGGTTTTACAATGGAATATCTCCTGGTAATCTTATCATTGAACAACCGGACAAGGTTTGTCCAGTGGAGGATCTCGATGATCAGGAAAATAAGGTGATAATTTTTGATGACATCAAGATTGACAAAAAGAACATGACAAAGGTGATGGAATACTTCAGTCTTTCTCGGAACAAGAAATGTAACTGTATATATCTTTGTCAATCATACTATGATGTACCGAAATATATCCGGAGGAATACCAAGTGCTTCCTCCTGTACAAGGGCTTAGACAACAGAGATGTCCAATGTCTAGCACATGATCACTCCAAAAATCTTAAGAAAACCGAGTTTGCGGAGGCCTATGAAATGGCAACAGAGAAACCACATTCATTTTTCATGCTTGATAAAACAGCAACATATCAGCCAGAGATGTACCGATGTGGATTCGATAGGTTCTTGGAGAAGTGAGAAGAAAAAAAAGGTATTGGTAGATAAGCATGCCACATTTTACTCAAGTAGAAAATCCTGAACATCGGAAGGAAGTCATTGACACCTTTCTCAAAAATCGAGAAATTCTCAAGCAACGTCAACTGGAAAAAAGGATCGGTAAGCAACAGCAGGAGGAGTTTGTAGAAGAGTTCCAAAAACCTGTTGTTAAAAATTTAACCAAACAAAGTGAGGAATACGATAAACGGCAGGATGCGCTCCTTGGACAACTTCAGACTAACCAAGCAGCAATCACATCAGCCCTCCACCAAATTCCATCGGTTGTGGGTTCATTCATCAAACCCATCGGAGGTAGTGCTCCTGAACCATTGGATGGTAGAACTTCTTCTTTCATTACTGACACTGATATATCATTCAACCAGGATGATATTGGCCTCATCAATAAGTATAGGGGGACTAATGATGAAATACCGAATACAGTAGAGATCAAAAGTAGTAACTTGAAGAAGGTGAAAGACGTGTTGGGGAGAATAAGAGGGGTACAACTGCGCTCTGGTTCAGTAAGTGATAAAGATGGAAATCAGAAATATGTGATAGATTCCATAGACAAGGTGAGGGAATGGATAGACTTCATGATTAGTGCTAAGGGTAGTAGTAAAGTGAAACCAGTACAATATCAGAAAGCAGATCGAGCAACTCAAAAATCACCACAGTCTACTAAGAAAAAGAGAAGAGAAAGAAAGAAAGGTATCAATCCAAAAAGTCCAGAACTCTCAAGTCCAGTTCCAGATCAAGCAACTCAACCTCTAACAATAAAAGTGTCACGAGAAAGAGCATCCGCGTTTAGACCTGTTGATTATACTCCACCACAGCCGACTAAGAAAAAAAGAAGAAACAGAAAGAAAGGTAGCAATCCAGAATACCCAACTCCAGAAGCATATTTCCGAGGGAATAGTGATAGAGACAGCTTTTCGGAAGATGAAGAATCCTATGCCTATGGGTTTCCTGTATCGG